GCAGTCACCCCTCGTGGACGGAGAGCAGTGACCATCAGACGTGGGCAGTCAGACCCGGGGGACGGAGGGCAGTGACCATCAGACGTGGGCAGTCAGACCTCCTGGATGGAGAGAGTGCCCGTCAGCCCTGGTCTGACCGTCAGAAGTGGGCCATCACACCTCGTGGACGGAGAGAGTGACCGTCAGACGTGGGCAGTCAGACCTCCTGGATGGAGAGAGTGCCCGTCAGCCCTGGTCTGACCGTCAGAAGTGGGCCATCACACCTCGTGGACGGAGAGAGTGACCGTCAGACGTGGGCAGTCAGACCTCCTGGATGGAGAGAGTGCCCGTCAGCCCTGGTCTGACCGTCAGAAGTGGGCCATCACACCTCGTGGACGGAGAGAGTGACCGTCAGACGTGGGCAGTCAGACCTCCTGGATGGAGAGAGTGCCCGTCAGCCCTGGTCTGACCGTCAGAAGTGGGCCATCACACCTCGTGGACGGAGAGAGTGACCGTCAGACGTGGGCAGTCAGACCTCCTGGATGGAGAGAGTGCCCGTCAGCCCTGGTCTGACCGTCAGAAGTGGGCCATCACACCTCGTGGACGGAGAGAGTGACCGTCAGACGTGGGCAGTCAGACCTCCTGGATGGAGAGAGTGCCCGTCAGCCCTGGTCTGACCGTCAGAAGTGGGCCATCACACCTCGTGGACGGAGAGAGTGACCGTCAGACGTGGGCAGTCAGACCTCCTGGATGGAGAGAGTGCCCGTCAGCCCTGGTCTGACCGTCAGAAGTGGGCCATCACACCTCGTGGACGGAGAGAGTGACCGTCAGACGTGGGCAGTCAGACCTCGTGGACGGAGGCCCTGCCGCTCTGCAGTCCCCATGCCAGCCGGAGCAGCATCAGCCACCCTGTCCTCCTGACAGAGGAGACACGGCAATCCCTGAGGCTCTGCACCTGCTTGGGCCGACAGGCTTCAGACTCCGTGCCGCCCTAGCACCTCCTGGCGCCCACGCTCTGCACACAGGGTCTGGGAAGCCCCACCAGCCCCGCCTGCACGGCTGGGCCTCACTCGCAGGTGTGACTCCCTTCTAAGGGGAGAGTCAGAAGCGGGGAACGAGGCGAGGCACCTCACGCTTATGCGGTGGGAACACGTGTGCTGGGAACATGGGCTGCACACGTTAGCACAGGAGAGCCGTCGCCGCGCCCACCACCGTGGCACCACTGCCCCGAAGCAGCCTCGCCTGCCGCACGCAGGCTCCTTGACCCCAGGCTGCATCTGTCACTGAGCAGCTTGTCGGACGCCACAGCCCAGCTTGGAGGAGGGGACACTGCTGCCCCGGTTCTCGCCAGAGACCCAGAGTGACAGCGCCTGGGGTCGCCCTGCCCTCATGACGGCCTGCCTCTGCCAGGACCTGCCACTGCAGGTGCGACTGTCACCGTCTGGGCTTGGAGCTTGCTGAGCCAGCAACGCCGTGTCCAGCCACGGAGCCGGCTCTGCTTGAGGACACGCCTGCATGTT